GCATCAGCACCACAGCAAGAGCTTGTCATCACTCCACATGGACACATGGGCTAAATAATTATCTGTGTGGCTATAACCCCGGCTGTTGTATACGAGGGAGGTAGTAATGTGTATATCTCCCTGTGAGGCATGCATGCCCACTGTGTGATGAACCTTGTATTATAGGGTTAATACCCACACATAATGCATTGTGTCATGTAGCTACCAGTCAAGTACACCAGTCACATGTGGACGCTGGATTAACCCTGCTTGTTTACAACCTTATTCCACAGACGTTCATGTAAGAGGGCTCAGGCCAGCCAGGAACAGTATGTACGTTTCATTAAGACATAAGCTGAATAGAGCTTCTCACCATGAAGCTGACTCTAGAGTAAACTCTCATTGTCCTGTGACTATTCCAGTATTACTATTTAGAAGGATACATTGTGTGAAGCCCATTTCTGGTGTCCCTGCCGTGATATTACTGGAGTATTGCTAAAAGTGGCATTAAACTAAATTTACTAACTCAATCACTATTTAGTAACATTTTGTATGTTCTTGCAACTCAATAACATAGGAAATCTAGTGAAAGTAATGTTAAGAGCAGGTGTCTGCAAGTTGACTCAACACATTTTGGCACAGACTGCATATATAGTATCTGTTGTCATAGAAAAACAAACCCACAAATTGAGTCTCGAAAGTGGAAAGCATCACGGTCACCATTATAAAGAAGTAAAACCTACTGAAACCTACCTACTTTCTGTTGTTTGTTGTGTAACGCCACACTGAGCCAAAACGTAGCCATGACCAGACAATCCAGTGATTGACATCATGAGCATCAATCAATGCCATTAGGATACTATGATACACATTGAGCCTGGCCACATGATCCGGATGTCGCCTCTTGTGCCTATAGTTTGTTTGCTGTTTAAGCCATACTTAACAATATTCCAGCTATATGGCAACAGTTTGTAAATAATCAAGTCAAACCAGACAATCCAGTGATCAACATCATGAGCATTGCGGTTGACGCAAATTGGGATACGAGTGAGTGAGTATGTTTAGTTTTATGCTGCAATCAGCAATATTCCATCTATATGGCGGCGGTATGTAAATAACCGAGTCAGGACCGGACAATTCAGTAATCAACAGCATGAGCATCGATCTGTGCAATTTGGAACCGATGACATGTGTCAACCGAGTCAGCGAGCCTGACCACCCAATCCTGTTGGTCACCTCTTACGACAAGCATGGGTACTGAAGATCAATTCTAACCTGGATCTTCATGGTCATCTTTACTAAGCAGCACCCTAATCTGCTGGGACCAGAACTATCAAACATCTGCACCAATGGGTGACTTTGAATAATTCAATCTGAACCAGTAAATACATAACTGAACTATGAGCAACTATCTGCACCTTGCGAAAATAGATCACACACTGTCATTCCCATCCCATTTAAGCTGCATAAAAAGACTGCTCCCAATTCTAACCCGGTGCTTCACGGGTCTTGTGCCTATGGATGTGATGCTGAATATGAGCATGAGTCTTCCGAGTGGTCATCCAGCTAAGTACTCACAGGCGCCATCTTCCACTGCCCTACTCAGACAAAAGGAACTACAGATCATGTCACTTCCTGAGCAAGTCCTGTACCTGTCTAGGTTTTGACAACAGGATCAGTGCCAGATTAACATCACTGGTCAGGCAGAACATTTGTTCTGACAACTGTCAACAGATTTATCACACATTCCATACAAAGTGATCAGTTATTCCTATAAAGCACTTACACATCTCCTTCAGGGGTGGTTAGGTAGCCTTGTGGTGCCTTGGATGGTCATGATATTGCTGGAATATTGCTAAAAGCGGCGTAAAACCATACTCACTCACTCTCTAAACTTATCCCTCACACACTATTAAACTACAAGTCAATCTTACATTTTTTTATTTTTATTATAGGATATTTATATAGCGCACATATCCAGGCAACTAGTGCTTGCTCAAGGCGCTGATATTTTTTCCCCTCGATCATTGGATGTCAATCTCAATGGCACATCGTATTATAAATCTCAACTCCCTGGGGAGTATACAACTCTTGCAGCCACTAGGCGCACCGAGTTATTGTGGCTTTCTCATCCTAACGAGGTGTGCATTTTTAAAAACAGTTTTGATGAGATATTCAGCCAGCAACACAATGAGTGAGTGAGTTTAGTTTTACGCCACATTCAGCAATATTCCAGCTATATGGTGGCGGTCTGTAAATAATCGAGTCTGGACCAGACAATTCAGTGATCAACAACATGAGCATTGACCAGCAACACAATGAGACTAGATGGCCTATGAAAGATCATCAAGTTACAGTGACTAATGACGGGATCTGACTGCAACTGATGACAGACAGACAACACTCACAGTTCACTGACAGACATCACTACTCAACACTGTAAGTCGGAGCCATCACAGCGAGTGACTCACGGAGTGGCATGGGGGGAGTTGGGGGGTCACATGTAGCAGCCCAATTAAATAACATATCCTCGCAATGTACAATGAGTGAGTTTGGTTTTACACTGCCTGTGGGAATATTCCAGCAATATCATGTCCGGGGAAACCAGAAATGGACTTCACACATTGTACCCATGTTGGGAATCGAACCCAGGTAACCAGCATGACAAGCGACCACCTTAACCTCTAGGCTAGCCCACCACCCTCACAATGTACAAAACAACCAGGGCAGCTCATAGTTTGGAAGCTGACACTGGACAAAACATAGTGTTCTTGACTCTGTGGTTGGAAGGTCCAGAGTGACCAAGGTTAAACAGTATTTCAGTTGCATCTTGGCATTTAAGTCAGAGACTTTTGGGATACCCACAGGTAACATTAGAAACATCCTTTACGAACCTGTGATCTGAACCTGTGAACTGAATCTAGAGACTGCAGATTGTGCAATGACAAACACCTCAACAGTTAAGTGAAGGATTCAAATCTCGACCACAAACTAGCACGACACAAAGCTCAAGAACAAACTGGAATGACCCATATCTCAACAGCAAACTGGAATAACCCAAACTTAAATAGCAAACTGGAATGACCCATATCTCAACAGAAAACTGGAATGACCAAACTTCAATAGCCAACTGGAATGACCCATATCTCAACAGAAAACTGGAATGACCAAACTTCAATAGCCAACTGGAATGACCCATATCTCAACAGAAAACTGGAATGACCCAACTTCAATAGCCAACTGGAATGACCCAAACCTCAACAGCAAATTGAAATGACTCAAATCTCAACAGCAAATTGAAATGACACAAACCTCAACAGCCAAATGTAGGACAAAATCCTAGACATATAACTGTGGCCTGTGGTCTATGTGATACTACAATTGGGAATAAAGGGACATGCTGTAGGAATCAACTAAAACTGCCATGTACTGTAGATGCTGACCACTTTGCGAAAGACCAGCACTGATCTCAAGGATCATACTGGTGTACAAATTCAAGAACAAATAACCATCAGATCCTGACATTGACAAGGGACATAACTCCACAGCTTCCACACAACAATGAGAGAATGCACACTGCAGAGCAGCAAGGATAGATGTAAATTGAAGAAAACTGAAAAAGTCTAGATGGGATGCTGGACCATGTTCAGGAAATGTGGGCAGTACTGACAGACCACCCAATTAGCCAGCCCGAAGCTGGCCACAGTAAATGTTAGTGCTAACAACTGTCTTACTCCACCAGCATGGCCATTATTTCAGGCGTGGCCTCATCCTCAGACATTAACACTGATATAAGGGGAAACCAGATTGCTGTAAAAATATTGCCATGTAATTAGCCTCAATCCACTTTCAACCTGACATGTTCGTTCCACAAGCACATATATCCATGGCTGGAAACACAAAAACTTCACAAGACGTCCTTTGGGGATGGCCATGGAGGAAAATGAAGCCAGTACATATTAGGTCATTCCCAAAATGTATAATGTAGGGGTGTCGCGATACATTGATACATCGATACATTTTTACTGACGATACGATACGCGATACATGCTTGCATGTATCGATTCCTATTTTAAAACTTTATCGATTCAAATTTTTATGCTATATCCATCTCCTTCAAAGTCTTGATAGTAAAATTATACGAGACCGCTCCGATAAATAGATGTAGCTAGCTTTACTTAAAAAATAGGTTGGAAACTAACAGCTTTTGTGATTGGCTAGACTATTTTGATGGACCAATCAACGAGCGCGTACGTTGCCGGTAAGGTAATGCTATGAAAAGGCGCGAAAATTATGTATCGCGATACGTATCGTACCGTGACCTTAAAATCGTGATATGTATCGTATCGTGAGATTGGTGTATCGTGACACCCCTAGTATAATGTAGCATTCTTCTGTACAAAAAGGACCAATCATCTGAAACTGTTAGTCGCTTCTTATGGCAAGCATGGGATGCTAAAGACCAATTCTAACCCCGGATGTTCATGGGTCAAGTCGGAAGTGAAAGGGAGGCTGGGTTCATATACGTCTTCTCAAAAAAAGTTTAAACCTTGGGACAAACTGTGAAGTCTCTTGATAATGCTACATTTTAGAAGTAAGCGAAATATGTAAATAAAAACAATAAACAGTAAAATAGTTGTTTGATTGGCATTTTAGAAGATGCTATCTGATGAACATAGAGAATTTCCTGGGTTTCATCTTCTTTCGTTTCAGGGCTTGTTCTGGCCCCATCATCAGATGAAACCCAGGAAATTCTCTATGTTCAGTAAATTAGTTCGTGAGAATTGGCAAATATGGAAAGGCAGTGGTCTCAGCACCTGTTTCTTCACATGGGTGGGTCATAGTGGAACATTTGTACATTGATTTGTGTATGTTATGAATGCATATTTGCGTGTGATATATTTCGTATCAACCATAAGGAGCTAATGTAGTGTTACAACACTGCTGCAGAGTACAAGCTTGGAGTCACATGACCATGGTATCACTGGTCTAGTGGCCTAATGACTGTGTGTGACACTCACCTTGGCATAGTACTGGCTGGCTCCGCCCTCGGAGCGGATGGTGCCGGCACTTGACTTGCGCTGCGGAGCATCTTCTTCTGTTAGTGGCACATTTCTGTCAAACAAAGAGTGAAGAATAAAATGACCATCACACTGTCCACCAAAGGATCAAACAATCAATAGACGCCAAATGTCAGCGACATAGATCAATATATAGATCAACTGTGACCAAATATTGCAATTTGTAAGAAGCAGGATGTTACTGTGTGCTGAAAGATGTTCAGAACCGTGAGGTCAAGCTGTGCAACCAGTGGTAACTGGGCTGATCTTAAATATGTGGGAGGCAGTATGTGTCTTAGTTGTTTAAAAGGAAGGGGTATTAATGCTACGGTAAAACACATCATGAGAATGGACCGGTGACCGAATGCAAGTGCAACAATTCATGCAATTGGAGAAAATAATATTCGATGAAACAGAATGATATATGATGACACAGAATGACACAGAATGACACAGAATGACACAGAATGACATGCACAGCATTTCCAGTATATGTCACTACTGGACTGGACATGTATCTACATAAACAGCGAGTGAGTGAGTGAGTGGTTTTACGCTGCTTTTAGCAATATTCCAGCAATATCACGGCTGGGGACACCAGAAATGGACTTCACACATAGTACCCATGAGGGGAATTGAACCCGGTCTTCGGCGTGATGCGCGAACACTGTAACCACTAGGCTACCCCACCGCCCCTCTACATAACAGAAAGGGTTACTGTTCAACTACACACAGAAAAGTAACAACACTGATCGTCTGTCTAACAGTCCCTGAGCTGCAGTAATTTCCCTTCCTTCTAAGTGAAACAATTTTAAATATCCTCACATTCTGAATTTCCCATCCCACTGGGGCTCCTTTTCAATTTAAAAGGAATTATTTGTTCTGTGACAATTAAATACATTCCGAGACAAAGCGTTAGTCTACATCACTATACATGCTGGCATGAAACAAAGTCACGAAGGAAACAGTTTCTGCAATAAACTTGACAAAACAAAAATTGCCGAATTCAATTGGATTCAGAGATTAAATTCCCAATGCGCTGCAATCTAAATGAAACGTCTGGCATAAGATGGAGATTGGCGCTGTAGTCCTCATTCCATAAGTCAGACAGGCATCGATTTCACAGAAACCCACGACAATAGCAGATTAGTGACATCTAAACATTGATTAAAGAGGAAGGACTTTCAAAGGCTTACTGGTTGAGTAGGGTGTGTTTGCTTAAATGTTCCTTTCAACAGGTAGGACAGAAACAGCAGGTTTTGATCACACCGTGTATAAATGTACATAATAATAATAATGGGCATTTGTTATACGCTATAATCCACACACTAGTGCATGCTCAAAGCGCAGATACATGGTATACTAACAGAGGATACTAAACGACCTTCCGTGTAATACCATTTTTATTAAACAAGTTAAAAATTTGGTATCAAACAAGCGAAAACGAGTTTGATGCTAAATCTTTCACGTGTTTAATAAAAATGGTATTTTGGCTAAGGCCTAACTCTGGTACTCCTTATTATGATCTGATCATCAAAATTTAGAAAGGTATAGTAAATATAGCCTGGCGGTTATTTTGGTGGCCATTTTGAGTTCTGGGTAATATATTAAAATTTCTAATAACATGCCATCACTCTAGAAGCAAAAGCGAAACAAAAACAACTTGTTTTAGATACAAAAATAATGTTAACTTTCAATAAATACATCACCACCACTCAATTCCATGAAAAGTTGGAAAAACGCTAAAATACCCCTGTCTCAAAGAATAAGCTGTAAATCATTCTATTACCACGATATGACCATACAAAACGACTTATTTTGTGCCCAAGACATCACTCTAGGGGAGAAAAGTGTAAAAAGACATCAAAAGTATCAACTTCGGTTATAAATGGAAACATTCGGTGTTCATTTCTATGTAAATCTAAGCTCTTAGAAGGCAAAACACGCTAACACAAAATGGCGGCCATTTTGATTTTTTTTTAAAAACAAAAATATGTCAAATAATTTTTACATCCTTTAGCAACACTCAGAAGTAAAAATAACTGTGATCAGATTGATAGTAGTAAAAATGTCTATGATTAACTTTGAGGTGTTGTCGGGCAGAAAACCAAATGTGGCGAAAATGCTTGCAGACCCCCACCACACATATAAAGGCCTGTGAAAAAAACCTGATACCACAATCGGAGTGTATTACAGGCCTTTTCATGAGCCCAAGACATCATACTAACTGAAAATAGTGTCAAACAAAATCAGTACTGGGGAGGCTACGAAATCCTATTCCTAGGCCTCTTTTGAGAGTCTCCTCCTGGACTAAATCCAAAATTTCACATGGAGGTCAGAGAAAGGATAATCAGATCCCCTTCAGACAAGAACCTATGATGAGAAGCTAAAGTTTCCACCCTACACCACAGGGCAAATCCTGTCCTAACAAAATCTTGCACTCAACGGACAACAAGAACACCCTGTCATCATGGCCGACTCGATTATTTTACCGACTGCCGCAATATAGCTGGAATATTGTTGAGTGCGGTATAAAACTAAACTCACTCATTAATGTACAGATCCATCTCAACGATCCACGTTAACCTCAAGGACACAGGTCGGTCAGTAGAGCTGTGACGATATATCGTAGTATCGATAATCGTGATACTTTATCTGACGATAAATATATCGATACGTTTTTTTCGTATCGTGATATGTATCGTTGACCTTAAAATTGTTAATTTTCATTAGATATTGATGGTTATGTCAAAATTTCTTGATATTAACATATAATTTTTAAAGAAAATAACTAAAGAAAGCATATCGTGATATGCATCAAATCGAATCGTATTGTTTCAAGATATCGCAATACGTATCGTATCATGAAATTTCTGTATCGTCACACCTCTATCACTCAGTACCGCAACCTCCAATGGAACATATTTCCATGAGTTTCAAAATATACATGACAGCCATATCCTTGTACAAACCCAGCAATAAACACCTCCAGGAATACCCCCTACACCGATATGCCTTAGTGCTATCTCAGCTTGTATAGGTATGCAGGACACTGATATACCGCTAGGAACTCTCAAATACTAGTCTTAGTCTTCCTCGATATCAGCCATGATTTATAAATATCTGAAACCTGTTTTTCGTTAAAACTTGTGACAATGTGCCATTTGTATGTAGTTTTGTCTTCAAGAATCAGGCATCATTTGTGATATTTCTGTTCATGCCTTAATCAATCAATCTTTGTTCACCCATATATACTACTCACATTTTGCTAAGGATCACAAAAATTCGCAAATTTACTTAAATGTAGATTTATAATTTGAAATTGTATCCATTTAAAACTGGGTAAATAATGATATGGTAACACATCTGTAGGAAAACAGCCACTTTAAGCTAACTGTATGCACTTGATACATGAGTAACCATAAAAATGGTTCTCATGGCACCAATCAACCATTTTGCAAATCATGGAACGAGTCATTGACAAGTACACAACACATGTCAATAGCAGGTAGAGGATCCACAAGATGCAGTGACATACTGAAACCTAGGATTCATGCTTACAATAGGCTTAGATATTTAAACCAAATTTGACCCCACATCATAGTTTTCTGTTGAATCAATGATTTGATCCTTAGCAAAGTGTGAATAGTATGTATACATGAAACCTTAAAGCATGTTCCACTGTGATAATTGTGTCAGGTTGTCTGCTTGTTGCCAAGAGATTGTACTACACAGACATATCAAATGAGTTTCCAAAAATATCCCGAATATCTCAAAACTGGTTTTAATGAAAAACAAATTAGTATGTAACAGAAGTAGCTGTCTCTGATATTCTCATCAATGTCTTCATTGACATCAGTATTGGTTCATACATATCAGGGAACAGTTATAACAAAACAACACATTTTACTCAATAATCTTATAGTGGCATGCAGTAGCCTGTATGTTGCCTACAAGGTACAGGCATGAAAGGAATTAAGAAGTGATAGATCTATTTCAACAGATAACAACTTTTCTTATTCTTTTTACAATGTTTCAGATAGATTTCTTGTTCTTCTTCAAAGGTGAGGGGCGGAGGGATAGCCTCGTGGTTAAAGCGTTCGCTTGTCACGCCAAAGGCCTGGGTTCGATTCCACACATGAGTACAATGTGTGAAGCCCATTTCTGGTGTCCCCTGTCGTGCTATTGCTAGAATATTGCTAAAAGCAGCGTAAAACCATATTCAGTCAGTCAGTCTTCAAAGGTTATTTGTACACAACTAAGTCTGGACAAGGCAAACCAGTAAGCAACATATTACCAGCAATGATCAAAGCCATGAATATTCAATAACATGTCATCAACCAAGTCCACAAGCTAGGTCAGCTCTCACAACCAGCATAAGCTACAGGAAAGCTATTCTAACCTGGCACTACTTTCACTGAAACCACCAATTCCCAGACCAACAAGGAGACTTACCAAGTGTGGCGACATATATTCTTAATTGCTACTCCAAGTGATTACTTTGTATGTACACTATAAACAAACTTTTAAATTTAACCATATATTGAGATACAGCTGTCACTGATTGAGAACTTTGGTGGGGTTGACTGCACTTTATGGGTCCCTGAAAATTTTACGCCATTTTTTGTTTACCCTTGCGATGGTTAGGGTTAGGGTCCCAAAGGCAGGGACACGTAAAGTGCAGGTGTACCCTTTGGTGTCAACCTAATGACTCAAATGTACATGAACACATGATAAGAGAGAGAATTACCGACAACATTAAAACCATTAAAAATCACTATTTTAGAAAGACCTAACAAACACATCTGAGAGAACAATTCGAGTTTTCAACTACAGTGGCACCCGGCACTCATCGGGACTAAAAAAATAGTCCGGTTTAGACAGCGTGCCGGATTGTACAGATGACATGGTTACCTCCAACTAGAAGTGTACAAGTTTCGTCACTCTCATATACATTGTTCTATCACAATAAAACGTCAACCTACCAGTTACATGTACAAGTATACCCATGCTGAACTAAGATTAAAATGTTTTTGTCGGCAACCATGTAGTCTC